GAGACAGAGTCTCACTTGTTGCCTAGGCTAGAGGTGAGTGCCGTGGCGTCAGCCTATCACAGCAACCTCAAACTCCCTGGGCTCAAGCGATCCTCCTGCCTCAGCCTCCCGAGTAGCGGGACTACAGGCATGCGCCACCATGCCCGGCTAATTTTTTTTCTATATATATTAGTTGGGCCAATTAATTTCTTTCTATTTATAGTAGAGACAAGGTCTCGCTCTTGCTCAGGCTGGTTTCGAACTCCTGACCTTGAACAATCCGCCCGTCTCAGCCTCCAGAGAGCTAGGATTACAGGCGTGAGCCACCGCCCGCCCCATAGTATTTATATTAATACTTCACTGAGCTACTATAGAATTAAAAGAGAAAAATCCATGCACAGGATTTTGCACAGCACTTGGCAAACAGCATTCAAAAAATGTAATTTATTATCATTGTTATTTCCCATGGCAATTATTATTATTATAATGTATTATTATTATTTCTGGAACAAAATGAGAAGCAATGAGTTTTACATGATGAATGTGACATCATTTCTTTTATCCTTCAAACTCCCTGGAGATTAACTCTTGCGAGGAAATGGACAACCTGTGCAAAGCACAAACACGTGACCCAAAATTTACAATGAGAGAGATGATCTGGATTTGCTGCTAGATTTCTGAATATTTTGAAGGCAGCAAGAGCTATTTTAAATTGTCTTAAACCCAGACTACCAGCTCTCATTGGACTACCTTAGGGGAAAAAATAACTGGATCAGTTTCAGAAAGTCTACTCTAGAGGCAGAAAATACAATTTAAAAATATGAGGTTAAGTTATTAACAAATAGAGAGATTTATAATACATACATGCTTTCTGTTCAGATTTATATTCTATCATTTTCTAGAAAAAAAAATGACGCATGGAGCCACTGCCGCACACTTTGAAATATTAATAAAGAATTACCTAGAGAGACAGAAATGCAGTGGGGAGCCATCTGCATGTTAAAAGTGTGTTTTAACTGATCTATAAAATTAAAATATGACATAAAAATTATTTGTCCTTCCTATTCTCCTTTCAACTTTCTTGCTATATTCTAGCAGTAGAGTACATAAAACTGTATATTTAAACATATAACCTGAAGGTTATTTTTTCTTGGCAACTTAATACATTCTAATTTGTCCAGGAAATTCTAGTTGCATGACAATCATGCTAAATTTGTTTTTAACATTTTTCTTCTACTTACTTGTGCAGCCATGCAAAGGGGAGTATATATTAAAAGCCTTTCATTCATCATTTACTTGCTCATTAATTTGGGAATTAAATTTTGTTTTCATAACAATTCTTCATCCAGAAATACTGGCTTTTATAACTCTACCTTCGGAGCTTGATGTTCCTTCTTTATGAGGAATAAACTGTTAAATTACACAACAGAGCAAGTAATAAAAAATTCTGGTTTAACAAGTTTTGTAAAAGCAGAATTTGCTTTATAAAAATGAGCAACATCTAAATATTTGAAAGACTTAAAAGACATTTAACACTAAATCTATATATGTTTAAGAAAGTCAAATCTTTTACTTGTAATGAAAAAGATATTTATAGGGTGCTATAGTCCCAAAGGTCATTATTTAAAATACTGGTCATCAATCTCTCCTGGTTTCAAACTCCTGACCTTGAGCGATCCTCCCGCCTCGGCCTCCCAGACTGCTAGGATTACAGGTGTGAGCCACCGCACCCGGCCTTATTTTCAGCTCTCTTTAATTGAGACTTGTGCATGTCTGGCTCACTGGGCAGCTCTAGTTTCTCCTGACTGGTCATTTAAATAGCATTAGTATGCACTTTGTTTATTAAGGCCAAGAAGCATTAAAATGCCACACATTGTGAGTAAAGTAAATGTTATTCCTGAAATTTAATAGCATTTCCTGTCAGCATAGATTTTTTTCTTCTTATCCAACCAGCAACTAACATCTGAGCTCTAGTGGTTACTGGTCATAGATAAGGATGACAGAATACATGTCTTCTTTCAAGTATAACATTTTCCCTGACTTCTAATCTTTGGAGATGCTGATAACAGAAATAGAATGGGAAATAAATCAAGATGGACCACAAGAATCTTCACATGAAGATAATGATTTAGAGCAATGGACCAGAAGAAAAAAAGAAAAAAGACCAAACGCTGTTTTGTTCCAGCCACTAGAAAAGCAAATATGAACTTAACAGATTTTGCCTTACTAATCCCAGATTGACACTCTTTGCAAAGACAGAAGATTGTCAAATATTATACGTTTGTTTCTTACTTCTTCAGTTTCATTAAGAAAATATGAACCACTGAGTATTTTGACATTTGAATTAATTCAGCAAACCTATTATACTATAAAATATTATCTGTCAAATAAAACACTTTTATGTGCTGTATCAAAATTGCATATTTAAGGTCTAGAGTCATTAAAACAACTGCATTAGAAGAGCTCAGACGTAAGAGCTAAAGGTAAACACCACTATGGTGTGAATGTGCTGTTTGGAAAAAACAAGCAAGATATTTAAATAGCAATCAGTTGGAAGAAAAAGGATGGAGACTTTCTTAATTTTTCAAAATAAAACAAAATCAACATAAAGAAAGAAACAGCATAGAGAAAGAGAAACCAATTTGTTAACAAAAACAAAGAATGATTGGTCTACACTAATAGTCAGATAATTTCCATAATACAAAAAACACTTGACCAATATTAACTTTTCATGATAAATCACTATTTCTTTTTGATGGAATAAGAAAGTTTATATGAATTTGCTGAGAGAAAGAAAAATGACTTAGAATCGTACAGTTACAGAAAGATCATGTCAAGAGTATTTGAAAATTGCCATTTTTTCCAAATATTCTAATCTCTGCTTTACAAGTATCTGCTAAACACACCTATAGCCAGCCCTAACTAATAAATGACAAATATCACTCTAATTTTTAAACTAATTTCTTCAACTATTAAATATATGTGGTTCATTCAGATAATAGGCTGAATCCATTTTTAAAAGTTATGGGGTGGGAAGCCTCTTAAGTTATCAATAAATTTATTTCTTGGTATCATAAAACAGAATGAAAATCAACTTACTTGATGTAATAGGGCACTTTATTATGTGAGATGGATCTTTGCCACGGCAGCTGGACTGAAGCTGGGGAAAGAAACAAAGGGAGATTATTGGAAACACTGGTAACTCAAAAGCCTTACACCTTAATGCAAAAACTGAACATATTTTACAGCAAATTCAATGAGAACTGCTCTGGTTTTGGAGCTGGATTCCTATAATCACAAATCCACTGGGCCAAAGAAAACAGCTTTAAAGATTCATTTGAAGTGAGGAAAAACAACACAGGTTCAATTTCTAATACTTTTATCATCGATAACCACTACGATTAAAACTTGTGCCATCTGAAAACTAACTGTACTTTACTTTTTTATTTTATTTATTTTTTTTGAGATAGGTCTTGCTCTGTAACCCGGGCTAGAAGAAATGGCATCATAATAGCTCACTGGAACCTCCAACTCCTGGGCTCAAGTGATCCTCCTGCCTCAGCCTGGACTTGGCTCATTTTTCATTTTCTGTAGAGACAGGGGGTCTCCCTCTTGCTCAGGCTGTTCTCCAACTCCTGGCTTGAAACAATCCTCCCACCTTGCCTCCCAAAGTGCTACTATTACAGGCATGAGCCATCCTGCCTGGCCATGTACTCTACACAATTTTGATAAGCTAAAACCAAATTAATTTTACTTGGTATATCCGAATTAAAACTAGATTGTTCAAGACAGAATTTTCTAAATCTCTAATAATATTTCTTACTTTGCATCATATTCATGGGAATAGCTGTTGAACAAAGATGGCATTTAAACAAATTTAAGAATATGAAATAATAAAGAGAAATCCAATAAAAATAAGCAAAGGTTGTAAAGAACCAAGGCAATCATCTGGGCAGAAGAATCCACAATACTATTTTCATTTGAAATGTAGAGTGAGCCCAGTTTCCTACTTGTGTACTAGGAATTACTATAATTTAGATGTTTATGTTTTTTTTATTGAAGTACTTAGTTTTTACAATTCCAGTGACTTATTTATAAAAGTGCATTATTTTTACATTAAACCAATTATTTAAGAACTTATTAAGAAGAGTAGTAAATGTGAATCTGAACCTATAAGAGAATTTTGCAAAATGAACTAATAAGAAAATTCAAATAAAATTTGCACGTATCACTATGCCCTTATGTAGCTAGTTGTCACCACTGATTTGTTTTCTTTAATTTCATGTCATATTGATATCTTACAAATATATACAGCATTCTAAACTTGGCAAAGCATTTTCAAATATATCTTTTGGTAAAAAAGCCAGCACACATTAAAGTTCCATTTGATAGATGAGGAACCAAATATATAGAGATAAAATAACTTGTGCAAAAGTGATAGCCAGGAAATAAATGTTCGAGCTCAAATGTGATCTCAGAATTTCTGAACACTAGTTCAGCAATTTTTCTACTCAACCCATCTTTAAAATGCAAACATTCCTTTCTCCAACTATGTCCATAAAAACTATAAAATGGGGATGAAAATGAGAAACTAGGTATGTTAAATTTCTCATTAGAGCCCCTCATTTCAGTGCTGGCACCAGGCTAATAGGTCAATTGTATTTGTGCCTAACTAAACAAGCTTCTTTTATACCATGGATAAAGTCCAAGAAATATAATAAAGCCAAAGATTCCAAGCAGCAAGGGATAACAATTGTTAAATTACTAATTGGATTTTGTTTTCACTTCTCCATTCATTTTAATAATTGTTTTGATTTGAATAACTTCGACCTCCTCGGACCATCAGTTTTAAACAATAAAAGGCCATGTGTTTGAGTTTCACAAAATGTGTTTCAATTTCACAATATTTCACTTCCTAAAGAATATGTGCTTGATTTCTACTATGAGAGTGATTGCTAAGTTAAAGTGTAGGGTTTCATCAATATTAAAGTATTGATCCTTAGAACTGAAAAGAGAATATTATTTTGTAATTTCTCTTTAATTTGGTCTTAGTACATAGCTTCACATTCTATAAAATTCAGCGTAAGAAACCTGGAATATTTAATACCTAACGAGTATACTGCAAATTCATCAACACTGAAGGTATTTAAACTTTAAAAATGCATCCTGGCACCCAGTATACAGTGTAATTCCAGGCAGGAAATGACTGATTAGGATTCTTGAAATTGTAAGAGAACGGCTGACCTTTATTGAGGTAAAACAGTTTATCAACAGTGACAACAAGATTAAGAGAAAAACATAAATGCAATCAATTTAGTTGCAAGACATGGGGTTACTCAGTTTTCTCTAGTTACAGTCACAAAGAAGTTGTCATAATTGAGAAATAAGCTTTGCCCTAAATTTCAACTTGACTTAAATTGGATTAAATGAAACAAATTGCTTTCTTACATATATTGCAAAAGAATGAAAGAAAAGGAATTAATATTTACTCAAAGCATTTGTGTCAAGAACTGTGCTAAGGTGCTTGTGTAACTGGATATGGCTGTCATTTAATTCTCAAAATAATCAGAGAAAGAGGTATTATGGTATTTTAAGATGCAGAAATTAACTTTCAGAGATTCCCAGTTCTGGTAAACGGCAGAATGAATATTTAAACTCAATCTGGGTGACTCTATAATCCTACATTCTTTAGTGTCCACAGCAGGGAATGATAAATAAAGTCAGAGCTCAACTTACTTATTCATGAACAGTTCATAAAATTAAATTTTAGTTGGAGAATATTACATAAAAATCTACACGTGTAGTTTGGCTAAATTGCGATACTTGACTAGAAGAAAGTTAAGTTGATTGCAGTGAGCCTAATAAAACCAAAATCTCATTTAAGATTTATGGAGAGTGAGTTTTTTTTTTTTACTTTAAAAGCTTCAGACAGCACATTGCACAATGGCAAAAATGTGGAATTAATTTAAGTGTCTATCAGTGGACGAACAGGTAACAAAATGTGGTATATATACACAATAAAATACTATTCAGCCATAAAAAAGAATGAATCATGTCATTTGCAGCAAACATCAGTGGAACTGGAGAACATTATGTTAAATGAAATAGCAGGCACAGAAAGGGAAATATTGCATGTTCTTGCTCTTCTGTGGGAGCTGAAAAGGTTCACACTTGGAGACAGAGAAAGAATGATAGATATCTCAGCTGGACAGGTATATAAGTGAGAGAGGGGATAAAGAGAGGTTGGTTAATGTGTACAAACATATGGTTAGAAAAAGAAACAAATTCTAATGTTCGATAGCATAGTAGGGTGACTATAGTTAACAACAATGATTATATATTTCAGAGTAAACGGAAGAGAGGACTAGAGTGCTTCCAACACACAGAAATGATAAACACTCAAGATGATGGATACCCCAAATGTCCTGACTTGATCACTAACATTTTATGCATGCAACAAATACATTACCCATAAATATATAATTTATGTTATCTATAAAATAATAAAAAAGAGAGAAACTGCAGGTGCCTTTTAAACTAATAACACTTTGAAGGAGAAAATTAATTTAAAATCTTAAAATATAAATGATTTCATTATGAAAAGTTCATACCTTGCCTATGACAAAATAATAATCATATGATACTATATGAGTTACCATAAGAGATGGTCCAGTGAAAAACCATAAAGACAAATTCATTTCTGTCCCACTTCAAAAAACTTATCAATTGTCATTATAAATATGAAAAGCGATATTTAATGAATATCATAATCTCCTTTTATACATTTGATATAAGCAAAATATTTATATGCAAAGATGTTTCTTAAATAAAAGTGAGAGCATATGCTGATTCATTCAATTAATGCAATCAGTCAAGTTTATTAGTACTTACTAGAAAGAAATGCTGAGAGGATGGTCCCAAATCTCTGTGGGCTTCCTGAAGCTGTTTAAGGCGATCGTCCACAGAAACCTGTAACACACACACATAAGACAGATGAAATAATGTGATTTCAAACAAGACTTTAATCATATCGCTGACTTAAGGACTAAATAAATGATGCTGTACCCAAGATAAATTACTTGTACAGATTCCTTCTCTGTCTCTGGTATCAAAGTAATGGTATAAAAAGACTCCTTATAGCATCAAGTAACAGTAAATAATGCCAGGTGCTCTTCTAAGCAATTTTTAGGAATTAACTCTTTTAATCCTCACATTAAACATAATGGCAAGTATATTATTATCATCATTTGCAGATGAAGAAATTGAGACAAGAGGTATCCTATCCAGGATCATAAAGCTAGTGAGTAGCATGCTACTATCCTATCCTGGTCATCTGCTGCTAGGACATATGCCTGTTACTCTGCACCACCTCTAAGGCAGTATACTCCTCTTTGGCTAAATCAAGATGTGCACAGGGTCCGTGATACTTGATCTCTCTTTTGTAAGGAAGATGGTAAATGCGCTATAGAGGGCAAATGAAAAAGAGCCTAGAATTACTCAAGGGAACTAGACAGATGAATAGATAGATAAGTAGATCGATGATGGGTAATAAGATATAGTGAGTAAGATGATAGATAAAGACACATAAATATGGACCCTTATTTCCTCCAAGTTTGTGTCGATCATCTCTACTTGGTTTGGATGTATATTCAAGTGTATTCCAGCAGTTTTAATACACCTATATATTTTTACATACATTCTATAGTTAATTTCCTATGAAATGCAAACGTATGACACTGAGAAGCTAAATGCACACAATACTAATTACATGGAGCCCACTGACATTTCATTTTCCTTTTCTGGTCTTTGTCTGTGTAATGCTAGTCATTGTTCCACTTAGAAGACAATCTTATTTAGCTCTCTCTTTTTTTTTTTTTTTGAGACAGAGTCTCACTCTTTGCCCAGCTAGAGTGAGTGCTATGTTGTAGCTAGCTCACAGCAACCTCAAACTTCTGGGCTCAAGTGATCCTTCTGCTCAGCCTCCCGAGTAGCTGAGACTACAGGCATGTGCCACCATCACGCTTAATTTTTCTATATTTTTAGTTGCCAATTAATTTCTTTCTATTTTTAGTAGAGATGGGTTCTCTCTGCTCAGGCTTTTGAAATATTAATAAAGAATTACCTAGAGAGACAGAAATGCAGTGGGGAGCCATCTGCATGTTAAAAGTGTGTTTTAACTGATCTATAAAATTAAAATATGACATAAAAATTATTTGTCCTTCCTATTCTCCTTTCGACTTTCTTGCTATATTCTAGCAGTAGAGTACATAAAACTGTATATTTAAACATATAACCTGAAGGTTATTTTTTTCTTGGCAACTTAATACATTCTAATTTGTCCAGGAAATTCTAGTTGCATGACAATCATGCTAAATTTGTTTTTAACATTTTTCTTCTACTTACTTGTGCAGCCATGCAAAGGGGAGTATATATTAAAAGCCTTTTCATTCATCATTTACTTGCTCATTAATTTGGGAATTAAATTTTGTTTTCATAACAATTCTTCATCCAGAAATACTGGCTTTTATAACTCTACCTTCGGAGCTTGATGTTCCTTCTTTATGAGGAAATAAACTGTTAAATTACACAACAGAGCAAGTAATAAAAAATTCTGGTTTAACAAGTTTTGTAAAAGCAGAATTTGCTTTATACAAATGAGCAAACATCTAAATATTTGAAAGACTTAAAAGACATTTAACACTAAATTTATATATGTTTAAGAAAGTCAAATCTTTTACTTGTAATGAAAAAGATATTTTAGGGTGCTATAGTCCCAAAGGTCATTATTTAAAATACTGGTCATCACTGTATTATATATATTTGACAGTGCTGGTTATAGTGCCCCAGTCAATGGGATGCCAGATAAAATTAGCTTTTATTCCACCAATCTGCCCCATAAGAATTCAAAGGCTGAGCAAGAATGCAATGCTACCAGATCATACCAAATTATAAACACTCTAAATAGAGAAATTCTGATTTAGACAACTTAATTCTCAGTCATATATATTTGATAACTGACCTGGACATACAGAAATTCCTTTTAATAGTAGAGCTAAAATTAAGGATGGACTTTAAAGTGTCAAATCAAACAGATAACCATAGCATAAACAAACATATTCAAGCCAGAAAATTTAATATTTTCTTTATTAAGTAAAACAAAAAATATGCCTTACTGAATCCAGTTTGCATTTTTAAAAAAATCAGATGATTCAGGATCCTACGTCAATTCAGTAAATTAATTAATTTCAGTTAATTTGCATGAAGTGTCTTGATTTTTGTATAGTCCATGTATTAGTTTTCTATTGCTGCTACATAAAAAGTCTTTCTGAGCTAAAATCAAGGTTGGTAGGGCTGTGCTCCTTCTCTGGAGGTTCTAAGAGAGAATCCCATTTCCTTGCCTTTTCTAGCTTATAGAGGCTGCCTGCACCCCAGGATCATGGTCCCCTTCCTCCATTTTCAAAGCCAGCAGCTGTCATCTCCAAATCTCTCCCTCACTCCTCTGCCATCCTCTTCTACTTTTAAAGCCCCTTGATATTACATTGGACCCATCAGGATAATCCATAACAATCTCCCTAATTAAAAGTCAGTTGATTCCCAGCCTTGATTTCATCTGCAACCTTAATTCTCCCTTGCTATGCAGCCTAACATTTCCACTGGTTATAGGGATAGAGAGGTGGGCATCTTTGGGGAGTGAGGGGGAGTTATTATTCTACCTCCCACAGCACATCAGATTTATATCTAAACCGCAATATTCAATTCAAGTCAATACTCACCCAAGCAAATTAAAATTCTCTAATACTATTGCTATTATTATTGTTGTTATTGTTATTATAGTGTGGAATAAAAATGTAAAAATTACAAAAAAGATTTTAAATATGGGTTAGATTATCACATCTTCTTTTAATAGAGACATGCCAACTTGCCTAGCCTCTGACCTCTTTCCCAATGCTTGTACAAATGTGACACCATCAACTAGTTTGATACCTTGTTCTCAAGTTTATCACAAGTCAGGACATTGTAGATTGTATACTGATAAAAGTATCAAATTCCCACAGACAATGTAACAGATATTGCTGATTATACTTTCTATATATTATATTATGGCAACAATTTTTTTTTACCCTGAAGATACATCTCAGACTACAATAAAAACTTCAAAAGAAAATACTATTTCACTAACATTGACTTCAGATTTTTTAGGAAGAGGTATATTGGAAAAGTAGATTATTAGTATTGGCATAGATTTTAGAGATACCACACCATATTTTAGGAATGATATAAAATAAACTTGGCCCAGAGATCTTCATCTAACTTACCTAGGGTCACATAGCTCACCTGTGACAGAGCTGTTTCTTGATCAGTAAGTGTTTACATGATTATGCTGTTCACCTTACATATAAAATAGGGTCGACTATGACTCTTATTACTAAATCATGTTGTAAATCAATAGCATTACATTTGAATGACTTACATTTTAAGGGACTGTAGAAGTAGTATTTATCATTCTGTCCCATGACAATATATCAACTAAGCCAAGGATTAAGTCTTACTAACACCCTGTGTAAATTACACTAAATTTATTAAATGTCACATAATAAAAAGAAACAGCATAGAAGAAAGAGAAACCAATTTGTTAACAAAAACAAAGAATGATTGGTCTACACTAATAGTGCAGATAATTTCCATAATACAAAAAAACACTTGACCAATATTTAACTTTTTCATGATAAATCACTATTTCTTTTTGGTGGAATAAGAAAGTTTATATGAATTTACTGAGAGAAAGAAAAATGACTTAGAATCGTACAGTTACAGAAAGATCATGTCAAGAGTATTTGAAAATTGCCATTTTTTCCAAATATTCTAATCTCTGCTTTACAAAGTATCTGCTAAACACACCTATAGCCCAGCCCTAACCTAATAAATGACAAATATCACTCTAATTTTTAAACTAATTTCTTTCAACTATTAAATATATGTGGTTTAATTCAGATAATAGGGCTGAATTCCATTTTTAAAAGTTATGGGGGTGGGGAAGCCTCTTAAGTTATCAATAAAACTTTATTTTCTTGGTATCATAAAACAGAATGAAAATCAACTTACTTGATGTAATAGGGCACTTTATTATGTGAGATGGATCTTTGCCACGGCAGCTGGACTGAAGCTGGGGAAAGAAACAAAGGGAGATTATTGGAAACACTGGTAACTCAAAAGCCTTACACCTTAATGCAAAACAACTGAACATATTTTACAGCAAATTCAGTGAGAACTGCTCTGGTTTTGGAGCTGGATTCCTATAATCACAAAATCCACTGGGCCAAAGAAAAAACAGCTTTAAAGATTCATTTGAAGTGAGGAAAAAAACAACACAGGTTCAATTTCTAATACTTTTATCATCGATAACCACCACGATATAAAACTTAGTGCCATCTGAAAACTAACTGTACTTTACTTTTTTATTTTTATTTATTTATTTTTTGAGATAGGGTCTTGCTCTGTAACCCGGGCTAGAAGAAATGGCATCATAATAGCTCACTGGAACCTCCAACTCCTGGGCTCAAGTGATCCTCCTGCCTCAGCCTGGGACTTGGCTCATTTTTCTATTTTCTGTAGAAAATGAGCTGGGACTTAGCTCATTTTTCTATTTTCTGTAGAGACAGGGGGTCTCCCTCTTGCTCAGGCTGTTCTCCAACTCCTGGCTTGAAACAATCCTCCCACCTTGCCCTCCCAAAGTGCTACTATTACAGGCATGAGCCATCCTGCCTGGCCATGTACTCTACACAATTTTGATAGAGCTAAAACCAAAATTAATTTTACTTGGTATATCCGAATTAAAAACTAGATTGTTCAAGACAGAATTTTCTAAATCTCTAATAACATTTCTTACTTTGCATCATATTCATGGGAATAGCTGTTGAACAAAGATGGCATTTAAACAAATTTAAGAATATGAAATAATAAAAGAGAAAATTCCAATACAAATAAGCAAAAGGTTGTAAAGAACCAAGGCAATCATCTGGGCAGAAGAATCCCAAATACTTATTTTCATTTGAAATGTAGAGTGAGCCCAGTTTCCTACTTGTGTACTAGGAATTACTATAATTTAGATGTTTATGGTTTTTTTTTATTGAAGTACTTAGTTTTTACAATTCCAGTGACTTATTTCTAAAAGTGCATTATTTTTACATTAAACCAATTATTTTAAGAACTTATTTAATAAGAGTAGTAAATGTGAATCTGAACCTATAAAGGAATTTTGCAAAATGAACTAATAAGAAAATTCAAATAAAACTTTGCAGGTATCACTATGCCCTTATGTAGCTAGTTGTCACCACTGATTTGTTTTCTTTAATTTCATGTCATATTAATATCTTACAAATATATACAGCATTCTAAACTTGGCAAAGCATTTTCAAATATATCTTTTGGTAAAAAAGCCAGCACACATTAAAGTTCCATTTGATAGATGAGGAACCAAATATATAGAGATAAAATAACTTGTGCAAAAAGTGATAGCCAGGAAATAAATGTTCGAGCTCAAATGTGATCTCAGAATTTCTGAACACTAGTTCAGCAATTTTTCTACTCAACCCATCTTTATAAAATGCAAACATTCCTTTCTCCAACTATGTCCATAAAAACTATAAAATGGGGATGAAAATGAGAAACTAGGTATGTTAAATTTCTCATTAGAGCCAACCTCATTTCAGTGCTGGCACCAGGCTAATAGGTCAATTTGTATTTTGTGCCTAACTAAACAAGCTTCTTTTATAACCATGGATAAAGTCCAAGAAATATAATAAAGCCAAAGATTCCAAGCAGCAAGGGATAACAATTGTTAAATTTACTAATTGGGATTTTGTTTTCACTTCTCCATTCATTTTAATAATTGTTTTGATTTGAATAACTTCGACCTCCTCGGACCATCAGTTTTAAATAATAAAAGGCCATGTGTTTGAGTTTCACAAAATGTGTTTCAATTTCACAATATTTCACTTCCTAAAGAATATGTGCTTGATTTCTACTATGAGAGTGATTGCTAAGTTAAAGTGTAGGGTTTCATCAATATTAAAGATATTGATCCTTAGAACTGAAAAGAGAATATTATTTTGTAAATTTCTCTTTAATTTGGTCTTAGTACATAGCTTCACATTCTATAAAATTCAGCTTAAGAAACCTGGAATATTTAATACCTAACGAGTATACTGCAAATCTTCATCAACACTGAAGGTATTTAAACTTTAAAAATGCATCCTGGCACCCAGGTATACAGTGTAATTCCAGGGCAGGAAATGACTGATTAGGATTCTTGAAATTGTAAGAGAACGGCCTGACCTTTAATTGAGGTAAAACAGTTTATCAACAGTGACAACAAGATTAAGAGAAAAACATAAATGCAATCAATTTAGTTGCAAGACATGGGGTTACTTCAGTTTTCTCTATGGTTACAGTCACAAAGAAGTTGTCATAATTGAGAAATAAGCTTTGCCCTAAATTTCAAACTTGACTTAAATTGGATTAAATGAAACAAATTGCTTTCTTACATATATTTGCCAAAAGAAATGAAAGGAAAGGAATTAATATTTACTCAAAGCATTTGTGTCAAGAACTGTGCTAAGGTGCTTGTGTAACTGGATATGGCTTGTCATTTAATTCTCAAAATAATCAGAGGAAAGAGGTATTATGGTATTTTAAGATGCAGAAATTAACTTTCAGAGATTCACAGTTCTGGTAAACGGCAGAATGAATATTTAAACTCAATCTGGGTGACTCTAAATCCTACATTCTTTAGTGTCCACAGCAGGGAATGATAAATAAAGTCAGAGCTCAACTTACTTATTCATGAACAGTTCATAAAATTAAAAATTTTAGTTGGAGAATATTACATAAAAATCTACACGTGTAGTTTGGCTAAATTTGCGATACTTGACTAGAAGAAAAGTTAAGTTTGATTGCAGTGAGCCTAATAAAACCAAAATCTCATTTAAAGATTTATGGAGAGTGAGTTTTTTTTTTTTTTTTTACTTTAAAAGCTTCAGACTCAGCACTATTCACAATGGCAAAAATGTGGAATTAATTTAAGTGTCTATTAGTGGACGAACAGGTAAACAAAATGTGGTATATATACACAATAAAATACTATTCAGCCATAAAAAAGAATGAAATCATGTCATTTGCAGCAAACATCAGTGGAACTGGAGAACATTATGTTAAATGAAATAAGCCAGGCACAGAAAGGGAAATATTGCATGTTCTTGCTCTTCTGTGGGAGCTGAAAAGGTTCACACTTGGAGACAGAGAAAAGAATGATAGATATCTCAGGCTGGGACAGGTATATAAGTGAGAGAGGGGATAAAGAGAGGTTGGTTAATGTGTACAAACATATGGTTAGAAACAAGAAACAAATTCTAGTGTTCGATAGCATAGTAGGGTGACTATAGTTAACAACAATGTATTATATATTTCAGAGTAAACGGAAGAGAGGACTAGAGTGCTTCCAACACACAGAAATGATAAACACTCAAGATGATGGATACCCCAAATGTCCTGACTTGATCACTAAACATTTTATGCATGTAACAAATACATGTACCCCATAAATATATAAAATATTATGTATCTATAAAATAATAAAAAAGAGAGAAACTGCAGGTGCCTTTTAAACTAATAAGCACTTTTGAAGGAGAAAAATTAATTTAAAATCTTAAAATATAAAAATGATTTCATTATGAAAAAGTTCATAACCCTTGCCTATGACAAAATAATAATCATATGATACTATATGAGTTACCATAAGAGATGGTCCAGTGAAGAACCATAAAGACAAATTCATTTTTGTCCCACTTCAAAAAACTTATCAATTGTCATTATAAATAATGAATAAGTGATATTTTAATGAATATGACTATCTCCTTTTATACATTTGATATAAGCAAATATATTTATAGCAAAGAATAGTTTCTTAAATAAAAGTGAGAGCATATGCTGATTCATTCAATTAATGCAATCAGTCAAGTTTATTAGTACTTACTAGAAAGAAAATGCTGAGAGGATGGTCCAAAATCTCTGTGGGCTTCCTGAAGCTGTTTAAGGCGATCGTCCACAGAAACCTGTACACACACACACATAAGACAGATGAAATAATGTGATTTCAAAACAAAGACTTTAATCATATCCCTGACTTAAGGACTATAATAAATGATGCTGTTACCCAAGATAACAATTACTTGTACAGATTCCTTCTCTGTCTCTGGTATCAAAGTAATGGTATAAAAATGGACTCCTTATAGCATCAAGTAACAGTAAATAATGCCAGGTGCTCTTCTAAGCAATTTTTAGGAATTAACTCTTTTAATCCTCACATTAAACATAATGGCCAAGTATTATTATTATCATCACTTTGCAGATGAAGAAATTGAGACACGAAAAGGTATCCTATCCAGGATCATAAAGCTAGTGAGTAGCAATGCTACTATCCTATCCTGGTCATCTGCTGCTAGGACATATGCCTTGTTACTCTGCACCACCTCAAAGGCAGTATACTCCTCTTTGGCCCCTAAAATCAAGATGTGGCCACAGGGTCCGTGACTATTGATCTCTCTTTTGTAAGGAAGATGGTAAAATGCGCTATAGAGGGCAAATGAAAAAGAAGCCTAGAATACTCCAAGGGAAACTAGACAGATGAATAGATAAGTAGATCGATGATGGGTAGATAAGATATAGTGAATAAGATGATAGATAAAAGACACATAAGTATGGACCACCTTATTTTCCTCCAAGTTTATGTCTGATCATCTCTACTTGGGTTTGGGATGTATATTCAAGTGTATTCCAGCAGTTTAATACACCCTATATATTTGTTTACATACATTCTATAGTTAATTCTCCTATGAAAATGCAAACAGTTATGACACTGAGAAGCTAAATGCACACCAATACTAATTACATGGAGCCCACTGACATTTCCATTTTCCTTTTCCTGGTCTTTGTCTGTGTAATGCTAGTCATTGTTCCACTTAGAATGACAATCTTATTTTCAGCTCTCTCTCTTTTTTTTTTGAGACAGAGTCTCACTCTGTTGCCCAGGCTAGAGTGAGTGCTATGTTGTCAGTCTAGCTCACAGCAACCTCAAACTTCTGGGCTCAAGTGATCCTTCTGCCTCAGCCTCCCGAGTAGCTGAGACTACAGGCATGTGCCACCATACGCCGTTAATATTTTCTATATATTTTTAGTTGGCCAATTAATTTCTTTCTATTTTTAGTAGAGACGGGGTCTTGCTCTTGCTCAGGCTGGTTTCAAACTCCTGACCTTGAGCGATCCTCCCGCCTCGGCCTCCCAGACTGCTAGGATTACAGGTGTGAGCCACCGCACCGCCTTATTTCAGCTCTCTTAATTGAGACTTGTGCATGTCTGGCTCACTGGGCAGCTCTAGTTTCTCCTGATTGGTCATTTAAATAGCATTAGTATGCACTTTGTTTATTAAGGCCAAAAAGCATTAAAATGGCACACATTGTGAGTAAAGTAAATGTTATTCTGAAATTTAATAGCATTTCCTGTCAGCATAGATTTTTTTCTTTATCCAACCAGCAACTAACATCTGAGCTCTAGTGGTTACTGGTCATAGATAAGGATGACAGAAATACATGTCTTCTTTCAAGTATAACATTTTCCCTGACTTCTAATCTTTGGAGATGCTGATAACAGAAATAGAATGGGAAATAAATCAAGATGGACCACAAGAATCTTCACATGAAGATAATGATTTAGAGCAATGGACCAGAAGAAAAAGAAAAAGACCAAACGCTGTTTTGTTCCAGCCACTAGAAAAGCAAATATGAATTTAACAGATTTTGCCTTACTAATCCCAGATTGACACTCTTTGCAAAGACAGAAGATTGTCAAATATTATACGTTCGTTTCTTACTTCTTCAGTTTCATTAAGAAAATATGAACCACTGAGTATTTTGACATTGAATTAATTCAGCAAACCTATATACTATAAATATTATCTGTCAATAAAACACTTTTATGTGCTGTATCAAAATTGCATATTTAAGGTCTAGAGTCATTAAAACAACTGCATTAGAAGAGCTCAGATGTAAGAGCTAAAGGTAAACACCACTATGGTGTGAATGTGCTGTTTGGAAAACAAGCAAGATATTTAAATAGCAATCAGTTGGAAGAAAAAGGATGGAGACTTTCTTAATTTTTCAAAATAAAACAAAAAAATACACGAAGGTTAAAAAAGTAACTTCTTTATGAATCATTATGGGAAAAAATGTTTCTGTGACCTACCATAGGTTTCAATTACTGTGACTTATCTGAACTTTTGCAATTTTCTCCAAATATCATATGACTAGCATATCAAGAAATTACATTAAAATCTATATGCATAAATAGATGAGGCTCTTGGGTTCAAGATACTGAAAGACAAATACCTGGGGTTGCCACATGCTAAATTCATTATCAATTATAAAAGAAAGAAAAAAAAATGATGGTGCATGGTATTATAGAATAGTGAGGTAGGGTTCAAAGCCACCAAGTTGTAAGCCTGCATTATCGAGGGGGATAAGCTGATACCTGTAAAAGTTTCCATCGCATGTTAAGGTCATCTAGCTGGCGAGACATCTTTATGGATGGATGGAGGTCAAGTGGAGACAGCTGACTGGATAAATCATTCACTGTTTTAACTTTTAGGTGGATTGGTGCAATTTCTTCTCTAAATGCCTACAAGAAAAGGACAGAAAATATGTCATCGGAAAGAATATAAAAAAAGGTAATACATTTGACCCTTGAACAACACAGGTTTAAATTGTGCAGGTCCACTTATGCATGGAATTTTTTTCAACCAAACATAGGGAAAATACAGTATTCGCAGAATGCAAACCCGGGTATACAGAGGGCCAACTTTTTGTATAGTCGGGTTCCGCAAGGACTTCGGAACATAACTGTGCTCAGATTTTGGTGTACTCAGGGGTTCGGAACCAATTCCCTACATACATCGCACTGAGGGAACTGTGGTACCCACTTTCTTTCAGGGAAAATGGCAAAGCCACCAGAGAGATGATCTGCGGCAGCTACCCACTCAACACCACAGCCGCCTTAATGCAGGCGTTAGTAACCCGGAGGAGGAGCCAGAGTCCCCCTTTATGACCCAATAATAGAAATTAGTTTGTGAAGAGAAAAACCATAATTCAAACTTATTTAAATGATTATGTAGATCCTTTCATATTTTTTATTACAGGAAATTTAGTCTGGAAAATGTCTGCCATTATTTTCCACTTTACCGATTTCTAGTCTTTATTCTAGCCTTAATTTTCTTTCATCTTTTCTTTTCTTTCCCCTATTTTAACATGGCTCCTTGAATACTTTTTCACCCAATGCAACAACTTGATTTAAACATGTTTCCACTTAAAATTAAGTTAGAAAGTGGCCAGTAAAAACAACTTTCCTAACCACAAAATCAATGCCCATTTTGTATTCCATAGATAAGTCCTGTCCCTTTCAGATTCATTTATGATCCCTGTCTGTGGTTGGGGCCAGGACAGGAAGAGTGAAGTCTACGGGAAAAGAGGTAAATGAGTGTTAGAATCGACAAATGCCACCTCTGAGCACAGCACAGAGAGCTGGTAGGTGTGGGGGCAGAGGGTGTATGCGAAGAGCAGAAGATAAAACAAAACATATTTTGGATCAGTGACAGTAATGTGTCCCACGAGAGCAAACGGAGTAACAAGAACAGTATGTTTTCTCCATTCTTCACATAACTCTGCCTGCCTCTATGTTTATGTTCCCCTTTTCCAGCAGTCTTTGCCTAGATCCTAGAGATCCTTTGAAGGCTCAACTCTGGTCCCCACGCACCAGGAAGATTTCCATTCCTCCTGCAGCCTGGGCTGGAGGCCCCTCCCACGTGCTCTTAGGGCGTTTTCTCTGCCCCCTCCAACATAGCCAGCACTTTTGGCCCACACGCATCTGGACATACACTTTGGGACTGAGGAGTTTGAGGGTGCGGCCGTTGTGATTGTTTGGTGCCATACCAAACGAGTTGTTAGATATTTTAAATATCATTTCTCATCAGAGCATTTAGTACTTGATATTATGGGCAACCATATTCTTGAAGTCCCCAACAAAGAATGGAAGCTTCTTGCATTCCGCTCATGACTTGCAATACGGAGAGGGCAGAATTCATTTCTATTGATAAAGGCCTGAAAAGTGATATTTGAGGCAAGATTAAGCCAATATAGAATGAGAAACAGAATTGGGATGCTAAAAGAGGAAAGTATATTTTTAATTCTTTGGCATGTCACAAAACTAGTTAATCATATACAAAATTTAACTTACGGGTGGTAGGTGTTGTAAACATCCTGGTAGCATTGGCCCTCAGATTTTTATCATTTCTACATTCCTCGTTCTTTAAGACACTATGGGCAAAAGCCAATAAGCCTATTAGCCCTTTTCTCTCACCACTATAAGTTTAGTAAAGAAATAATATACCCCAGAAAAAATATATACCAGAGTGCTTTAAAGATTAAAGTTTTATTAAAACACTATGGTATTAATTTGGCTTCTTCCTTCTGTTTATAAAAGGGAAGCCTCTTTAACCACTTCCTCCTTTCCTTCTCTCTTCCAAAACATTTCTAGTTACCTTATATAACTCCCCCTTCTATAACAAGGATGGCAGAATTCGTCACCCCAAATAGGCCACTTTGGCATAAAGATTTTGAGCTGAAGGCACTTAAAAAAATTGGTGGTACAAAAAGGAACTCTGACCTTTGACTTTTTCTTCCTGAAAGCAGGAGATAAATTTAAAATGCCCTCTCTATACCAGGAAGAAAGTAACCTATCGTCAAGGATGAAAAGTTAAGACAGAGAATTCTGTACAAGCAGACCTTGCTAAAATAATTCTTACCTGCCTTTAGTCTACCCGCACAATATAGTTATTTTTACAAAATTGCCTCTTTTTGGTCAACTTAATATAAAATTATTTAGTTGTTAACTACTTCATTGGGTCTTCATTTCCTTATGGAGAGGCTCTTGTGTTGCATAAAACTACATGAAATAAATTTGTATGCTGTTCTCCTGTTAATGTCTTATGTCAGTTTAATTCTCAGACCCACATGAAAACCCCTAAGAGGGAAGTGGTAAAATTTTGCCTCCCCTACATATGTATATGCTAAAAATAATTATTATGGCTAATAAACATCAAAATAATTTAAAGAATCAACTCGTATTTTTGAAAAGGAAATTAATCCTAAGTAAAGCAGTGAGTATGATTTAGTGTTTCAAAGTTCTTTAACATGCCCAAAAGCCACATGAAGAAGTCCAATTTAGAAATGACCAGTTTACAGTCAAATGTGGAGCCCAGAGTCAGCGTGGGAAACATGGACCTGGAAATAGCAGTGTATAAATGACACCGAAATAGTCAACAGGGAAGTCAATATGCGTAAAGTAAGAAATACTGCCAGAACCCTGCAGATGCCAACATTTCAAAAGCTGGTGGAAGGGAAGGCCACAAAGTCATGGGAATTGCTGCAATATGGAACTAGAAGAAAAGTAGAGTTGAGGTAGCTTTTTTCCCATTGCTGCATATGTTATGGTTAACAGAATGTGCACACAAAGACAGACACACAAATAAAGTTAAATAGGAAGAGCAGTTGTATGGTAACTGATGCATTACAGGTGTAAAGAATTAACAATTAATAACAATTATCAGAAGTCACGGGACAGAGGGAAGTGTGTGGTAGGTAAAGGAGAATTTTTCAGTCTGGACTTTTGAAGTGGCTTAGGTTCCCGCAGATTCAGTTTGAGAACAACTACAGAACTCCAAGTCCTTAGAGGTTCTAGTCAGTGATTGTCACTTTAATATAATATTCTCTCCATGGGTACAATGCAGAACTCAAGATTATAATTATCTTTTAAATTACTTTTTTAATGTTTTAGTATTCAAGATTAAAAAGGAAATGCAGAAAGTTCCATGATTTATATAATTTTAAATAATACCAGTTTACTTCAAAAGATGGTAAAAGTTGTTTTTAATTGATATACTTCGAGAAGATTTTGTAAAAATCTTATAGAACCAGTAAAGGAGTTTAAATTTTTCCTTTACAAAAATAAGTTTTTCTATTATTAGCCATGGTGAAAGCATTAAAAAGCTTTGACAAACAAAGTCTTTGAGTTTTATTTTGTTTTTATGGTCAGGGTGTTTTATGCATGAGGATCTTTCTATCAAGAAAGTTTTAATCTTGTTTTTTAAGACTTTCAAAATTAAGGGGCTTGAAAGAAGCCATTTTAAAATGGTTTCAGAATGGTTATCAAGAACTAGTATAAAGAACCAATTTCTCATGTTTTGACTGCACTTCTCTATTACAGAATGAGTCTATGTGCCCTCCTGGCTATAAAACAGAAAACATCCTGCTAGTAGCAAAGGCAGTAACTGGCAGCCCACTGGCAGGTGTGAACTCCCAAACCTGTTTCCTGCCAGAAGGTGTATATCTGCAAATAAGAATATTAAGCGATAATTTTAGTTAATTGAAATTGTTTGATCTTCCCAAAGATTTGTTTTCCAGTGTTTGAATACTTAATAATCATTTAGCAATATCAATATTTATTTAAAAAAAAAAAAGGAGGGCAAGGTAGTCTCATGCGCATTCTAGCACTCTTGGCAGGCTGAGGCAGATAGATACATGAGATTCAGGAGTTGGAGACCACGCTGGAGCAAGAGCTAGACCCTGTTCTAGCTAAAAATGAAAATTGGAGCATGTAGTGCCTGTATTCTTAGTACTGGGGAGGCGAGCAGAATCCCTTAACGCCAGGAGTTTGAGGTGCGTGACCTAGTGAGATGATCACGATTCTAGGCCAGGTAACGAGTGTAAAACTCTGTTCAAAACAACGAACAAAACCCCTTATTTTTATTGACTACAGTGCATGAGATTTGAGGTGAACTTTTAAAAACATATAAACATCGCAACCTTTGATCTATTTTATGTTAGCTTAAATGGCCTTATGATTTTTTTTCCTAAAAGATGATAAAATTCTATACACAGTTTAGTCTTTCTTATAAATATAAATTGTAATTTTTCCCTAGCTCCACTTAAGCAGAGATTTGAAAAAAGATTATGGATGGTAGAGGTAGTAGTCTTTTAATCAAATGGATTAACAACTCCTAATTTTGGGCATTTAATAACCCTAGATACAATCTTTAGCTTCCTCCAACACTAATCATTCTGTATTTAAATTTGATACTTTCCAAATTGCCAAATGGGTAACATTCCTGCTGAATTCAAGAGGCATTTTGCAGTCCATAGGCCATACTTTTGTAACC